TTAAGAGATTCTTGGATCAGCTCCCGGGATGGAGGGATTCAGGGATGAGCTCCTGGGACAGAGGGATTCCTGGATGAACTCCCAGGGTTAAGAGATTCTTGGATCAGCTCCAGGGGCAGAGGGATTCAGGGATGAGCTCCAGGGATGGAGGGATTCAGGGATGAGCTCCTGGGATTGAGGGATTCCTGGATGAACTCCCAGGGTTAAGAGATTCTTGGATCAGCTCCCGGGATGGACGGATTCAGGGATGAGCCCCCGGGGTGAAAGGGATTCCAGGAGGAGCTCCAGGGATGGAGGGGTTTAAGGATGAGGGCCTGGGATTAAGGGGTTCCTGGCTCCCGGGATGGAGGGATTCGTGGATGAGCTCCAGGTATGGAGGGATTCAGGGATGAACTCCCAGGGTTAAGAGATTCTTGGATCAGCTCCAGGGGCAGAGGGATTCAGGGATGAGCTCCAGGGATGGAGGGATTCAGGGATGAGCTCCTGGGATTGAGGGATTCACGGAAGAGGCCCCGGGATTTCGGGATTCCTGGATGAGCTCCAGGGATTGAGGGATTCACGGAAGAGGCCCCGGGATTGCTGGATTTTCGGATGAGCCCCAGGGATTGAGGAATTCACGGAAGATGTCCTGGGATTTTGGGATTTCGGGATTCGCTGCCGGGACCGAAGGATTCCTGGATCAGCTCCCGGGAACCGGGGCTGGAGTCGGGAGGGGTTCGGGAATCCAAGGGAGGATTTGCCGCCGGATTCGGGAATTTCCGAGTTACCGAGGGAGCGGGTAATTAGCGAGGGGCAGTTAATGAGCTCATCAATATGCAAATGAGGCGTCACCCGCAGAGGGGACCAAGGGGGGCGGTTCCCGTTTTTCCCCCTCCCCCTTCCCGGGGCTCCGATCCCACAGTTTGGGAGCAAATCCCAAATTAACGGGATCCCAATTAATTAATTAATTAATGGCCGGATGCTAATTAATGCTGGGGCTGTAATGAGGGCCGGGGGCGGGGCCAGGGGGGGGCGGTACCTTTGAAGCAGGTGATGAAGTTCTTCACTTTGGTGTCATCCAGGAAAAGCTGCGGAAAAGCGGGAAGAGGCCTCAGGACACTCCGGGCTGGCCTGGGACCCGTTTGGGATCCGTCTGGGATCCGTTTGGGATCCATTTTGGGATCCATTTTGGGATCATTGGGGATTCATTTGGGATCCATTTTGGGATCCA